TCCATGTCAACTGCACTGCACGCGCTTTCGAAGACTTTGCAGTATTCCGGGAATCGATGCCGCACCGACCGGTGGACTGCCGAGGTCGATGATGAAGCAGCCTGGAGCTAAGTTGCGCGTTGCTTCAAGACTAATAGGGGGTTTACAGAGGGTTCAGAGGTTTATTTATAGGGAGTTTGGATTTGGTTGCGTCGCCAGTACGGAGGCTGCTGAACATTCGAGGAGTTGGGTGTTGGGGTCTTGAGGCGATGTTTCGCCGGACTCGAGCGAGTTGTGCCAAGTAGTCGAAAGCGTAAGTTGGGGAGAATTTTCGTCTGCCGCTGTCCTCTTTATATACGCCTACGATTGCTACTCCTCCCTTCTGTGTTTGCAGTTTTGGTTTGGGAACAAGTAAGGGTGGTTTGGCCGCCTCTGTTGCCGTTTGACGACTCCTGCTACCGCTGGTCCTATTCTCGCTGAAGCTGTTGCCTGCCGCTTCCACTTGTGCGGCGAGGATGGGCATGGACCCCAGCATGATGATGGGCGGAAAGACGAGTCGCACCCTAAGCTTCCCAGAGAAAACCCAAGGCTGCGGAGTTGGGCCCTCAGCAAGAAGGCACGAGGAACCCTCTAGAGCAAATTGAGGAGAACGCGTCTTTCTCGCCAAGGTTGCCCCTGCTCTACTCGCGTTTTTCACGTGCCCCTCATCAGCATGGCATACATCCTTTCTACCCTTCTCTCAGACAGATGGTGTCAGAATTTCTCAAGCCTCAGTCCTAAGGCCTGCGAGTCCAGAGCCCCAGATCAGAAGCAGAACGGACCACATCCACAACTCTCTTCGAAAGCCGTCTTTCTTTTGTTATTGACTTTCTACATGTGCAACAGCGTGAGAGGTTTGTGCTTGCGTCAGATTTGCCAACGAGCCACTACCTCCCAAATCCTAAGCCTCGCAACCCCTAGTCGATCCGCCCCAAAGCTTGACCATTCGCCATGCAAGCTTGAAGGTGAAAACCCAAAGCTGGAAATCCACCGACATCCAGAGCCCAACACCCTGTGCCTGCCTTGTAATCGAGCAAGATATATTTAGGAGGAACAGGCTCTTCTTGCACCATCACCGTTACTCCGAGTGCGCTCTGCACGAATATCGGTGCTGAAATACTAAACAACAAGTAAATAAGTATTTAGCCGCTTCCCGAATTATGCAGTTACACGTCAACATACACCAAAATTCTATGCTAATCATCAAGGCCCCTTTATTACATTCCTTCCTAAGGTGGCATGCCGAGAGCCCAGATGCCTGGGGGTTTCGGGATTAGTTTATTCGGTTAGGGTTCAAGGTTGAGGGCATTGGATGCGGGATTCAGTGTGTGCATGGAATCTGTGTATCATGTCTAAGTCTCCAGGACCTTCGGGTGTCCTCAAGCCCGACAGTATAAGTGTGGCCGTGAGGCCTTGCACACAATCGAATCGAGAAAACCCCGAAGCTGTCTGTACGGGCTGTAGGCTGACCAAACGGTTTTATCTCTGGTTCAAGCACTTGGGGCATCTTGGGGTGTTAGAATGTAGCTATCAAGAACTGTTCGGTTTCTTCATGCGGCTTCGCGATTGGGATCACACGCATATGCCATCCCTGAAATCTCCCTGAATCCTAAATCCTAGGGCTGCTGACATGCCGTTAGGAAAGTGGCTCTTTGGGATATACCCAACATGAACCAGAGAGAGCCAGAGAGGGAGAACCCGAGACGGAGAATCCGAGGCGTCAACCAAACTGCCCTGCACCAAACTCAAAGACAACAACCCCAGCCACGAAGTCTCTTAAATTAAAGCCTCGATCTCCGGCATGGATCCAGCTGTTGGGCCTACCGCCCAAAGCAAGAACGCAAGAAAAGGATAGGATGTCTTGACTGTTGAATGTCTTTTTTTGGCTTATCTGGCAGAAGCAGCAGACACTTGAGAAAGGAGATTCACGGCAAGGAACTGCTCCGTGCCGCGATAGCCCGGAAAGCCCTGCAACCCTGAACTCAGTGAGTTTTTCAGTCCTGCAAGCACTCAGAGCCCCGACCACCAACAACTCTGGGACCGAAGGCCCTGTGAGCATTTGTAGAGCTGTTATCATGCTCGGCTGACAGTAGGTGAAGAACAGCATCAATTAAACGGTCCCAAAGGCACCCCCAGCACAGCGGAACATCCTACATTCTGATATGATTGTGCGTAGCACCCGAAATAGTCCTAAATCTCGGACGCTTCGCGGTTCGCCTAGGCCTAGGTGTGAGGGTGGAAATCCCCTTCCAGATTCTTAGACGTCCGAACATCCGCCGAACTCATGCTAAGAGGCCTGCTCTCGATAGCCAGCTTGGACCTCAGCCCTGCATTGACATGTGAACTTCAACTTTTATAGCAACATAGGGGTTCCTCCGAGTGCAGGTTCCTTTTGTGTTCGCAAAGGCGGGTTGTTACAAAAGTGACACCTTGGATTTCTGGGATCAACGAAAAACACAGGGCTCTTTAGCAAAACGCCTACATGGGTCCCTATTTAACTCGCAAACATAGCCTTTTCTTAATTCCCATCAGCATTACATAGCATTACCATCAGTACCGTTATCACAATCATCGGCACGCATGCTCGCCACCATCGCCATCATAGCCCGCTACACACGTGCATACCATACGCATGAGACCCACTTAAACATGCACACTTGCACATACAGAGTAGCGACATACACAAACACACACATTGCATACATGCAATGGTAGCATGCATGCATACGTGGGTACGTATGAATGTGCATACCAAACTACCCGGGGACACCAAGACGAATATATTACACACCCATGTGCGGTGTGTGGTTCAGGGATCAGATTTAGGTTCAGGGTGGAGGATTTAGGTTCAGGCCACATGTGACATCCTCGAGGCGTGGTTGCCAGCAAGCCTGCAGAGAAAAGGGTTCAGGGGTTGTAGGATCTCGGGCCCCAGAGCGGCTATCAGTGCTTATGGAGAATACTCGGGCTGCCAGGCCACTGGTTACACTGTAAACAGCGCAAGCACTAAGAAGTTAGCACTTGGAAACAACATCTAAGCCATCAGGCGTGAACCTAATGCACACATCATGTCAGCATTGGGCTCAAACCTGGGCAGCACGGTCACCATGAAGCGATGCTCGGATAAACGGAGATTGGCAATTGGATTTCCCTTTGCTTGTTGGTACTGCTTTGTGCTTAGTTTCACCGCTGGGGCCATCATGATGCCATTGCTTCGACCGGGTCTCGCTGGCGAAACAGTGGGTCCATAAACGGTTGTTCACAGTGCTCTCACTGCTGCTGCTGCTGCTGCTGCGGGTGCTGCTCCCGCTACTGGCACTAGTACTTACGCGGCTGCTGCAACTGCTGCTACTGCTGCTGCTGCTGCTACTACTTCTACTCCTACTCCTCTTCTCCTACTCCTACTCCTACTCCTGCTCCTACTCCTACTCCTCCTACTCCCCCCTCCTACCCCTGCTGCTGCTGCTGCTGCTGCTGCTGTTGCTGCTGCTGCTACGACTACGGTGACTAGTACTACTACTACTACTACTACTACTACTACTACTACTACTAATACTACTACTACTACGACTACTACTACTACTACTACTACTACTACTACTACTCCTACTAGCTTCTGCCACTGCTCACCGCCGCCGCCACCACCACCACCACCGCCACGACCACCACCGCCACCACCACCACCACCACGACCACCACCACCACCACCACCACCACCACCACCACCAACACCACCACCACGACGACGACGACGGCGATCAGGACGATAACGATCACGACGACGACGACTACTACGACCACCGCCACCACCAACGGCAGACTCGTGGTGATCATGTTGCATCTTGAGTTGGAGCCACACATCAACGGGGGTTCTGTCTTAAGGATGCTGCAGTTTAGGGTCCATTTCTGGGTCCCCGATCTTCGAAACTTAAAAACGCTGGACCCTAGGCCGGTCGACCCAAATCCCCAAACCTTCAGAACGAACCCACAACCCCCAAACTGAGTTCTGAATAAGGAGCTCTGGGCTGTATCCTTTCCCCGTTCTTCCCCCACGAGAATGAGAAGAAGATCACCCAATGCATCCGCTTGTTCAAGAAGGAGTGGGGCCGTAATGCTGTAAGAGCTTTTTTCAGCACAGTATGGAGAGAATATAGGGCTTTGACTTACAGCATCAGAGAACATTGGGGTCTGAATAGTTCGGAACACGTCCGCCTTGTAAGCCGTGAGTGTCAAGAGGAGAGGATTTCGGGCTGATGTGTTGAGGATGCGTCCGGCAGTGGTTGTTGATGAAGCAAATAGGACGTGTTAGGGTTTCTATCTGGGGCCTAGGGCTTTACAGGGCTTGGGTCGAGCAGACACTGCATTCTTTCTGGCGAATTTCGCCTTGCCCAGAGGTGTACAAGTCGCCGGATAACCCGCAGACCCAGCAAGGTTTACGGAAGTCCTTATCTTGCCGAAGCCCTAAATCCTGAGCTCTTATCGAAGCCTGAATAAAGCCCTTATAGAATGCTTTCTATGAGCCTTTTCCCAAGCCCGAAACCCTACCCCCCCCAAACCTTCAAGAACACATGCTCTCATCCCGGTCCGCCAAGTTATCCAAGTTTCAGGGTTTGGTGGCTTTTGAGCGAGAGATCTACGGTCTAGCGACCGGGTTGCCCAAACAGTGGCATGACGCAGCTATATAATTCGTTTGTTGCCTGTGCAGTAGCGATGTAAGTGGCAGACACGCCACTGGCGTGAGCCTTAAAACCCTGAAACAGTAGCAAACGGCTCAAGAGATTTCCTTGCCAAGACGTCCCACGTGTCAGAGTGAGCGCCACTGGCGTGAGCCTTAAAACCCTAAACTCGAAACAGTAGCCGTTTCGGCTCAAGAGATTTCCTTGCCTAGACGTCCCACGTGCTCCCCGCGAATCTTCTTTGGCTGCCATGGCATCCCCAACTTCCCGCGATGCCGTCGTGGACTACGAGGGCCTGGGCCTGCTTCAGCAGGCCCAGCTGGTGATGGCCTTGAGTGCCCGAACAACTCGCCTGTTGGATGTGCCGCCAGCGTCGCAGGCTTCATCATGTCCATCAGCTGGATCGCTTCGTACCTGTCCTTTGCGGCAAACGCCTGCGGCAAGGCTGTCAACAACATTGTGCCCTGCGCTGGTGACTTCACAGCTCTCATGGCCAACTTCGGCGAGATCGCCACGGTGGGCGCCGCCAGGGCGGACTGCAACTTCGGCAAGAATGCCCTCCAGATCCTCACACGCACGGAGACGATCTCCCCTCCCTGGAAGCAGTTCGTCCCAGCGGGAGCCTCGCCGGCGGTCGACAAGGCCTTGAAGGTCAACGGGCACAAGGACTACGACATCGTCCAGTGTGCTGTGGATGTCACCAACTCCGCTTCCTACATCGTCCGAGTCATCCTCCAGATTCGTGCCGCGGGCAGCGCCTGTGCGGACCCGAAGTCCTGCGCTGTCGGCCGTCATCTCTTCCTTTGCCTGGATCTCCCAGTTCACGGCCCTCGCTGTCTTGAGTTGCCAAGTGGGTGCCGACCAGAAGGCTCTGTGCACAGCGGACATTTCGGACATGGTGGCCGCGCTCACCAACGGCCCGGCTGCCGGCGTCGCCTCCACCTCGGACTGCGCCGACCTCTAAGGCTTTCTTGCGGTGAAGGCGATGTAAGATTTTGACGTAAAATCGTCATTTGAGCCGCGGCCTGATGAAGGCAGTCGTGGCAGCAGCTTCCAAGTACAGGCCCCCGCTCAGGAACCGGTGTGCACTACGCTCTCACAGGCTAACCTGTGGCGAGCACCTCTCGAGATTTCGGGCCAGCAGAGAGGAGTGAGATGTCTTCGCATCGCTAAATCGGAATTGCTTGATGGACTGTTGGCCCAACCTGTTTGGCGAGCTAGATCAGGGTGGCTCTGTAGCATGTCTGCAGCAAGTTGTCAGGCCTTATCAGAGGATTCTTATACCAATGAGCCCAACACAACTCACACTCAAGCCAGAAGGCCTAGGCAGAAACCGTTGCAGATTGGAAGATCTCGCTTGTGTCAGCTGCCGGCTGTTTATTTGTGTCGGGTATTGCCTGATGCTTGTGGCACAGCTGCTTCGCCGACCCCAACCTGTGCAACCTCGCTTGCCTTGTCCGGGTTGTGGGAGCGACCAAGCCCGAAACACACTGGAAGCCCTGTGAAGAGGACCCCAGCAGTGTTGCGAAGGACCTCCTGGAGCTGTGCCTTGATAACTACTAGTGTTTTTCTCCTGCTGATGATGCGGGATGAGGGGTTTTGGGTCCTAGGCATTGAACGGGTTTCAGGTGTTTTTGTTCTGTGCTGTTTTGCTCGTGTGCAAAGCTTTAGTACAACTGTGCCCAGATCCTTGGACACCAAACAAAAGAAACGCTGCAAGACGTTCGCCCGCTGTGCCTACATGGTTCAGGGTTTAGGCGTCGAGGTCGTCCACTGAAGCTGCCGCCACAGATCTCAAAAGCCTCAAACCTCAAACCCGAGCCCTGAACCCCATAGTGGGCCCGATGTGCACCCTGGAACCCTAAAGTCCCCACCTAACTGAGCTGCCTCCCGGTAGTGCTGAAACCCCCCTGCAACACCCTGAACACGCCAAGCTCCAAGGAATGACGTGAAAGGCGGAACCTCCAAGGCCATCTCCGACAAGCTGCTTCGCAAGCTGTGCCTAGGCGCTTAGAGCCTTGAGGGTTTAGCGAGTTTAGCTTCTGCAAGCGTCTAGGGTTCAAGGGAAAGGGTTCCGAAGAGTTAGCTGGCGTTCTTGCTTGCAAGCCTGCAGCCCAAGGGTTCTGAAGAGTTTTGGGGTTTCAGAGCTCGGGTTTTTGCAGTTTCGGGCTCAGGTTTGGAGTGGGGTGTTGGGAGGCTCCCAACGTGGGGTCCTCTTTCAGATCCCTGTAGCTTCGTCATGAGAAGATTGCGGTATGCCTTTTTTTTGTTTTAATTTTGTGGAATTCGGAGAGGCGTGGGGTTCAAGGAACCCCAAACTCTGCAGCACGCAGAAATTTTGCTACTCACACGAGTAACGAGCTTTCGAATGTCGACGGGCAGGCGGAGAAGGACCTTCACAGGCAGCAAGACTATCCTCAAATCCTAAACCGAAGACTCTGCGACCAAGCGTTTAGGATGTGTTGTTAGTTTACGAAGGTCTGAAGCCACAGCCAAAAATAATCTAAGAAAGCGAGCACATTTCTGCGGCCTGCCAACCATGATTTGACTCTTTTTTGCTGGTGTCTGTTTCTTCAACGAGCAAGCCTCGGGAGCCCGGTGGTCAAAACTGCGCAGAGGGACTGAGCCAAGGGCCTCCCGCAATCTTGGAGAAGTTGACGCCGACTGGATGAAGGTCCTCTCCACGCTGGGCCAGGAGAAGCTTTTCTTGTTCTGGATCGGGCTCATCATTCACTAGGATTAGTTGTTATATTACCGTTTCAAGCCAACATGTTTATTGGCTAGTTATTATGGAATAGCACTTCGTTTGCCGGCAGGACGAGTTGTCCGAGGACGACAAGCTGACGCTCACTCTGATCATGGCGAAAAAGAGGCTCCTCTTTTTCTGAGGTCTCGTTTGGCAATCTCACCATCTCGACGAGGGCTGGCATTGCTTTTAGGACATCACTTTGGCCCCAGCAGAGCAAAGAACGGAATTGGAGTCATGTCTCTCTTTCTTTCTCACTCTCGCTCCCGCCCCGTCCTTGTTTTGCACACCCCTTTCCTCTCTGCAACACAGACTCCAGTATAGTAAGGAGACTTCAGCCGCGAATTCCCAGATTCTCAGAGCGGACCGTTCGAAGCTCAATGTCTCAGCAGCTCATCACCTGCCCTAAACCTAAGCGATCCTAAGCGCGCAAACCGTAGGTACCAAACCTTCGACCTCGGCCCAAGCTCATCCATCGCACCTCCGCCAAGTGTCGTAACCTGGAGGCAAACGGAATACCTGGCGGACAACTGGGAGTCATTTTGCATCAACGAATGGCACGGATCTCAGGATAGTATGGGGGCTGCGAGTTGAGGCAGGACTACATGCACCTGTGGTGGAGCTGGTCTTTTCCGGAAGCCTCGGAGAATCCCTAAAGATGCCGAATGAGGCTCCCTGCCATGGAAGTGAAAGATATCTACGATCTCTTCCAAGAGCTGCGCAAGAGAGGCACGTGTCTGTCAAGGGCTTCAGGTATGAGGCTTCGAGGGTCTACCTGAATGATCAATGCACCCAAAAACACACACACACAGACACACACAGAGACACACAGAGACACACAGAGACACACAGAGACACACAGAGACACACAGAGACACACAGAGACACACAGAGACACACATAGACACACATAGACACAGACACAGACACAGACACAGACACAGACACAGACACAGACACAGACACAGACACAGATACAGACACAGACACAGACACAGACACAGATACAGACACAGACACAGACACAGACA